CCATTTCCCTATGATCTATTGTACCATTGCCTGAAATGTGAAGCATATAATTTTGTTCAGTGTATCAAAATGTAATGAAGCCCTTCAGATTTGGTTACAGGGTAGCTGCTTGTTTCGAGCATTTCAAGTTGTAGCTCGAATCGAGAGGGGCGTGGTGGGGCGGTTAATTCGATTGACAGTACACACACACACACACTCGCACACCCTCGCACACACTCGCCCAAAATTGATGTTTGTTGCAAATTTGATTTGACTTTCCTTAGCTGCAGTTGCTGCTGCTGCAGTCAGTCGCTTTCTCAGGGCCAAGTCCAAGTGTGTGAGCTGTCTACGCGGCGCTGCCGTCCGAGGTTTCTGAGTTTTTCGCACAAGAATTATGCCCACATAAATGGATAATTGTGTGAAACTTCTTAAAAAACAAAAAAAGACAACAAAAAAAAAATGCAATTATCAAGAAAAGAAAAAAAACCAACAACACACTGCAATTATGCAAAGTGCAAGTTCAACGCCAAGCATCAAGGCATTCACTTCATTAAGTTTTTCATTACAATTTTCTTGGCCAACGCCCCGCCCCGCCCCGCCCAACCGTCCCCTCTGTCCCGCCTGTCGCCCTTAGCCGCTTCATTTGCTGACGCTTGGAAATTGACTGCGGTTCGAATTGCTCAGCTTTTGCTGCTGTTTTTTTTTGTAAGACGTTGTTCAATTATAATTAAAAATGGGTTTGTAAATATAATTGGTGGGCGTGCGAAATGTGACGGCGAATGAGCCAACGTTGTTGTTGTTCGTGATTTGCTAGCTGAATTAGAACAACGCAATTGCTGTTCAGCTGTTTAGTCAGACAGGCCGACGCCCAGTTCAAATCGCAGTTTGCACTTTGCCAAAAATGTACATATATTTCAAGAATCACAATAACTTAGAATTATGTACGAGTCGGAGCTGCCCGGCGAGGTGATACCCTATAAATACATGCATATATCTTCTTCATTCTGCATTCCTGACTAAGTTCGGACTTTATGGTCCGATCTTCTTCCCTCAGCCACGCAGCGTGACAAATGCATTCCTGATTAACTTCGGACCTTATGGTCCGATCTTTTTGAAATTTTCAGTGCTTAAATATGGCATACTAACAGTGTGTTAAGTGTGACTGTGTAAATTATGCAAGTAGAACAATTTTGGGGTATATAGTAGCTCCAAAGGCAAAAACCCTCAAATTGGATACTTATCGATCTAATGTAAGTGGGAGAGAGGTAAGCGAAAAGAAAAAGGTATCATATAGAAAAATCCCAAAATTTGAATTTCAAGTAGATGGACGGACAGACAGCTGGTCTTGACTGGATTGGCTCAGCTTCTGGTCGCCTGATCAAGAATATATCAGCTTTATGGCATCAAAGACGCTTGCTTCTGCATGTTACAGACATTTGCTTGGAACCCATATACCCTCTTTGCCTATATACCATATTTAAGCAGGTCTTAAAAGGCAACCAAATGGCTTAAAAATGTTTTAGCCCAAAAGGCCTAACGGTACACTCAGCCAGGTTGTAAATCTTACACTTGGCGAAAGACTTGGCGAGCTTAATAGAAGCCTTTTGTAAAAATGTTTTTGAAGTACTTAGAGTATCTCTCATTTTCAGAGACAATAAATTGCAGATTTTGTCTAAGTGTTAACAAGTTCGGTTTGGTAGCTGAGTTTTCTTTAGAACAAAAGTCATGCATTTTGTACAGCATATTTTTTTGGGATCAGCCATTTGGCAGCCAAGCGCTTCTCTCAGTGCACATTGCGTATACGACCCGGGTGCGTGTGTGTGCTTAAGAAATTATGGCGCGCTGCCCGCGCACCTTGATTCACGTGGCGCTGGCATTAAAGAATCATTGTCTGCCGCTGTGGTTAAAGGTAAAGCGACAGAGCCAGAGACAGAGACAGAGAGAGAGAGAGAGACAGAGAGAGAGAGAAAAAGTACAAAAACTCCCAGGCCGCGCATCCCAGGGCCATGTCGAGCTGAGCTGGCACTGAGCCCGGCCACGCCCCGAGCCAAGCCGTCGCCCCCAAAGCGAGTTAACACTTTTCACATGTATCGAACAATGTGCGGCACTCATATTCGTGGCTGACATCTATGACAATTACGATTTCTACATAGGCAAATCTATAGGCATATACATATATATATATATACTTGTCTATATGTAAATGTGTGCATATATCATATACTTTATTTATGGAAGCAAGTATTTATTTAGTTGTTGCTCTTACATTTCCAACGAATTGCCTTTAACATTTCGCTTCTTATTCAAACATGGGCTTAACGAATCGAGTTCCACTTCCAGTTACAATTCCAGCTGGAAAATTTGGCTTGTGTAATAGTTGCTCCTTTACTTCCATGCGATTGTCGCCTTGACAAATTGAGTTCCACTTCCAGTTGCAATTTCAGCCTTGTTTCTACATTTCCAATTAACTGGGATAAATGGATCATTGAATGAGTTCCTTTTCCAGTTGGAAGTTAACGTTCACATATAGTGGCTCTTACTTTCCACGACTTGAGTTCCATTTCCAGTCACAATTCTTATCAAATGTATAGCATTGTATATTATCAGGCATTCCACTGCTCATTGGATTGTGGGCTAATCGAGTTGAGTACCAATTCCAGCTGGAAGCTAATGCTCTTATAATTCCAATGAATTACTTGCGGTTTGCTGTCTTAACAATATGCATTTTTCTTCCAGTTCCAACTACAGCTGGAAGTTTGCTGCCCATTGTGAGCTCAAGGACCTGAGGTATCACTTCCAGTCACAATTCTAGTCGAAAGTTTATCTTTATATTTTTTTCTTACTAGTTTTTTTTTTATACCCATGCATTCTGAGGCATTCCACTGCTCATTGAATTGTGGGCCGATTTCCAGCGGCTTTCCACACTTCCAGTCACAACTACAACTGGAAGTTAGAGCTAAGAAGCGGCATTTTCTTCTGTTCATTGTGAGCTTAAGGACTTGAGTTCCACTTTCAGTTAACATTCCACTGCTCGCTCGATTGTGACCTGCTCATTGAACAGTTGGCTTCCAGTGACCATTCCAACTGGAAGCAGTTGCTGACAATTGCGTGCTTTGTGTGATAGTTGCCAAAAAATTGGAAAAACAAATACAAATTAGCTAGTTTCTTTTTTTTATGACATTTTTGTCTTGATTGTTTTTGTTTTTTTTTTTTGGTTTTTTTTGAAAAGTGAAAATGCAAACGCTTTGCAGGCACGTGGAATGACTCACGACCCACATTTCGTATCCGTCTCTAGACGCGATATGTATTTATCTTCTGGCACCGATTCCATTTTAAAGACTCTGATTATAGTCGTTTTTATTGTTGTTGTTGCTGCTGCTGTTGTTATTGTTATTGTTATTGTTATTGTTTTGCTTTGTTTTATGTTGGGCAATTAGTTGAGCCAGGGTCAAGTTAATGATTCAATTAGCATTTGTCATCGCCGCTGCGCTCGTTGGCAATAGTTCGTAATTGTCGTAGATCGTGGGAATATTGATAATACCCGTAAGCTCCATGACACGGCATGACACTGTCTTAAAAGCGATTCTGGCGATCGTCAACGATATTTCAAAATCAAATCAAGCAATAAATGCGTCAAGCTGGGGTTTGCGGGGGACGGGAAGGGGGGGGGGGGCGGACAGCTCAGAGCTGAGGTAATGTGCATTCATTTTTCCCTCTGGATAAAGGAAATGCGAGAGACGCAAACTGTGCATATTTTTGTTAGGGAAATTTGTATGCCCTTACTCTCACTCTCGCTCGCTCTCAATCTTTCTCTTTTGAAGGGGAAGTTTTGCTCGATGTGCGGAAGTACCTTTTCAGCATATATGCAGGGGACGGGGGGCGGACAGCTCAGAGCTGGAGTAGGCTAGAGGTGAGGGAATATGCATTAATTTTTCCCTCTAGATAAAGGAAAAGCGAGAGACACAAACTGGTCACATTTTTGTTAGGGAAATTGTTATGCCCTTACTCTCGTTCACTCAGAGGGGAAATTCTGTCCGATGTGCGAAAGTACCTTTTCCTACTTATCTATTCATATGCTCCTATTCCATGCTAATATTCTTTGTATAAAATTCCATGGAGCTATTTTTCAATATTTTAATACCTTATATTTGAAACAATTAACGGAATATTCAATATTATTCCGATCTTGTTGTAGTCGTTTTGGTTAATATCTCATGCGAACTTAGCTTAGTAATATTTAACCTTATATAAAAACTATATCCTTAAGCTTTTCAACTTTTGTATATGCTAAATTATATAATTTTCAGACCAATTTTTTAAGCAAGACTGTTTCGTAGCCGGGACTCCAAGTTATTTCTGACTATCAACCAAAACTTTAACCCAAATCAGTTGCCCAAAAAAACAGCTGAACTCTAGCCCGAAATGAACTAAATTAATTTAATTTTAGCATAAATAACTTGCATTTAAACAACAATATTTGGTAGATGAAAAATTGTATGGCTTGAAAAATTTTTAGTTGCCAATACTATTTTGAAAATACATGAGAAGGCGAGCGCTGGTTCAGGAACCGAACCTAAGGGCAAAGGGAGTTGGTTCGAACCGTGAAACGTGGCCGTGCAATCCTGGTTTTCGGTTTTGTTCTGTGAACACGCTTTCCTTGAAACTTTTTAAGCATCTCCCTTTTATATATGTGTGTGTGTGTGTGTATGCAAGTATGATGTGTATTCTCGTAGTACTTGCTCTCTTTCTCTACAGCTGCCCCTCTCTCGCTAACTGTCGCTATTAATCTATGCCAAATTTGATTGGAAAATCAAACCCAACATCGTTCTCTAAGCCAAATAACCTAACCACATGGATACATTGAAGCTATACTGGGCCGCGGCATGTGTCATAGAGATAGAAGCCACCCACCCACAAGCCGCAAGCGGCGCTCCAACTCTGCAGCTCCCTTGCTCTCTCGCTCGCACTGTCTCGCTGCGTGTGTGTGTATCTGTGCGTGTGTGTGTGTGAGGCAGGTGTATAAAAGCGACTGGCTTTGGGGCAGCCAGAGCATTAGACAAGTGTCAGGCGGCGCGTGCGCATCGGCAACGTTCAACAAGTAGTCCAAGAAGCCACATCCAGTTAAATCCACACCCAGGCGGCCACCACATGAAGTGCTTTGTAAGGGCGTCGCCAGCTGGCGCAGCTGGATTAGCCCGTTATTAAATTCGATTTGTTTGCAGATCGTATTTGTTGCAGCGACGCTGCTGGCGAGCGTGCAGGCGCAGAGCGAGACGCTGGCACAGGATCAGCAGCAACAGGAGCAGGAGCAGGTGGCGGCATCGCCAGCGGCGGATCAGGTGAGCGCCGCCAGCAGCTATGCACCGCTGCAGGAGAAGAAGCAGGAGAAGCGCTATGTTGGTGGATATGGTGGTTATGGTGGTTATGCTGGCTATGGCACTAATGCCGGCTATGGTGGTGGTTACGGCAACTATGGAGCATATGGCTCCACGCTGGGTGCCGGCTACGGCAGCGGCGTGGACAGCTACTACAGTCCATACGGCGCACGCGGTTTCGGCGGCTTAGGTGAGAATGGGCGGCAGTGGCTCCACGAACTCTACTAATCTTTGTTGGCGCTTTACAACACTAGATGGCGCTGCCGGCTATGGTGGCTACGGGTCCGCATTGGGCGGCTATGGCTCCACACTGGGCAACTATGGCTCCTCACTGGGCGGCTACGGCTCCACACTGGGCAACTATGGCTCCACGTTGGGCGGCTACGGCTCATCATTGGGCGGCTACGGCTCATCATTGGGCAGCGGTGGCTACTATGGCGCCGGTTACAATTCGAATCCTTATGCGCTGTCCTATTACAATTCCCGCCTGGGCGCTGGCGCCGGCGTCGGCGTCGGCACTGGCTACCCGTATTACAATACACGATTCGGTGCCGGCGGCTATCCCTCCAGCTATTACAGCAGCAACTATGGCAACAGCGTTGTGGGCGGCGGTCTGGGGGCGTTGGGCGGCGTGCCGCCCATTGGCGCCGGCGCCGCTGGCTACAATTATGGTGCCGGCATCTCGGGCACGGTCTACTAGGATACGGCGCATAGCATGGAACACATTTAAGCTTAGTGCAATTTATTTTTTTTTCTCTCCCATTCTATCATATACGTATACATATAAATATTTTTTTTCTAACTTAATATTTTAAATATGTTAAACAAAATAAGCAAACCAGAAATATGTATATCTTGTTGCTAATTGGAGGCAGGTCGCTTTTTTTAATCGTATGCGCCGTGCTTATCCTTGATAACCCAGAAGGAGTCAACAATCTGGCCATCCTTGTCATCGGAGACCTGTTCAAAGTACAAATGTGTGCCATTGTGGGCCTTGAGGCGCGTGTAGCCGTAGTCCTGAAAGAAATGCAAGCCACAAATTGAAAATTTACAAATTTTAAATTCAAATGCATTCAGCAATGCGCTTCGCAACAAATGTTGCAAAGCAGATTGTTACTGAAAACGTATCGATAATTTTGAAAGCGATACTTTTTTTTTTCAAATACTCAACGTGCACTGGCAATAATTTAAAGCTGATTGGCAACATTTTGTTGCTAGCCCAATGTTTCCAATCAGCTTTAAATGTTGTTGCACATGTATCGATTATTTTGACAAGATCCTTTTTTTTTTAAATACTCAATGTGCACTGATAATAATTCCAAACATTAAGAATCAAATGCAAGCAGACATTTAAGGCTGATTGGCAACACTTTGTTGCTAGCCCAATGTTGCCGAATATTGTTGAAAATGTATCGATAAGTTGCAAAGCGATCTTGTTGAAAATGTATCGATAAATTGCAAAGCGATACTTTTGAACGCACTTGACAAGTAGTAATCGAATGTAGGTGCCGTTACTTACATTGCTGTGAAACGCATTCCAATCGGGCAAATTGTTGGAAAAGGGTTCTCGGTTCTCATTGCAGCCCGCGGAGCCAGTTATGATCTGTATGGGCGCCTTGGGATTTGTGTAGGGTGCTTGGGCGCTGCCATTGTAGACCTTGAAGTCATAAATGGGCCACAGACGAGTATAGAAATGCTCGTGTGCAAAGAACTCGACATCAACTCCGTGCTTATAGAACAGATCCTCCAGTCCGAACCACTTGAGCGTCGGCAATCCCTGCCGTATATATGTCTCCAGCTTGCCATTGCAGTCGTACTCCTTGTCATCGCTGCAGTACATCGGACGATGGCCATACGTGATGATCCAGGGTCGCTTGGCCCGATTCTCTGGCAAATTGGCCTCAGCCAAATCCCGCTCCAGCCACTCGAACTGCTTGGTGAGCAGCTTCATGCCATAGTTCATGAAGTAGTAGACCTCCGTGGAGAAGGATACAAAGTGCACTGGTCCCATATTGAAACTGTACCACAAACTGTCACCGTTCCCGGGCATATTGAAGCGTGCCCGATAATTGGAGAAGTTGCTGCAGGGCAGGAGAGGATCGCATTGGTTCAGTTGGTCAACAAGGCAACTATATTTATACGTACTATTTCTCCTCGTGATTGCCCGGACAGACCATGTACGGCACATAGGCGGCCAGCGTTTCGATCTGGCGCATAAACTCATCCCCGACCCGGGCATCCTCTGTGTCCATGTCGTAGGCAAAGTCACCCACATGGATAATCGCATCGTACATGCCCAGCTGTGTATCCTGCTGCAGGCGTGCCAGCGACTGGGCGTTCTCATTTCCCATATCGCCGTAGATGGCCAGCGAAGGCGACCACTTATCGCCCGCCGGCGGCGTCTTAAAGCTGTAGATTGCCGACCAGCCCAGGTTGCTGCCGCAGCTGTACTCGTATCGCGTGGCCGGCTGCAGTGAGGGCAGCGTCACCTTGTGTATGTACTGGGTGCGCGCCTGCTTGCCGCCATCCTTGAAGAGCTCCCAGCTGCCGCTGATCACGCTGAGCTTGTCGTGGACATAGTCCTGGGCAAAGTTGACGATCGACTGGTTGGTCGAGCTGCGCGTCGACCAGGTCACCACAATGTCCTGCAGGCTGTCTGGAAGGAATCAATGGATATCAATCAATTCGATTGTTCAGGTGAGTATTTTTTTCCTATAATTGAGACAATATTAATGCTAAGAAAATCCACAATCAAAAGCGGAAAAAGCGCGTAAAATCAATTAGTGAAAAATACCGTGTCCAGTTGCATGTAAATACTGCGGTTTATTGGATGCATTTGATTAAATTACAACAATCAGTAAAATATATATATATATATAAGTATGAGATACTAGAATATTAGGTATTTGCTTGTATATATATGTACGTAATGGTTGGCTGCAGCTGTATCACAAATATGGATTCGTTTAGGCGGCGCTGTACGGCCCGTGACTATGCTTGATGACCCAGAACTTGTCTATAATGGCGCCTCCTTTGTCGTCGGACACCTGCTCGAAGTACAAATGGGTGGCATTGTGCGCCTTCAGCCGCAAATAGCCAAAGTCCTGGCTGTGGAAGGCGCTCCAGGGCGGCATATGCTTAAAGAATGGCTCGCGTCCCTCATGATTGCCGGCAGCGCCCGATATAATGTGCACCGGTGCACCCGGATTGACATACGGCTCCGCCCGCGAACCATTATACACGGTATAGTTGTACATTGGCCACATGCGCTCGTAGCAGTGCTCATGAGCCCACAGCTCGACGTCCACGCCATATTTGTAGAAGAGCGGCTCCAGGCCAAAGAAATTCAGGCCGGGCAGACCCTTGCGCACGACAGTCTCATGATTGGCGCAATCGTCGCCGTTGTCGTTGCTGCAGTACATCGGCCGATGGCCGTAGGTGATGATCCATGGACGCTTGGCGCGATTCTCTGGCTTGGTGGCCTCCAGCAGATCGCGCTCCAGCCAATCATACTGCATGACAATTGGCTTGAGACCGAATTGCGTAAAGTAGTAGACCTCGGTGCTGAAGCCAATGAAGTGAACCGGACCGAGATTGAAGCTATAGAACAGGTTATCCGTGCCGCCCGGCATGCTGAATCGATTGACATAGTGCGAGAAATTGCTGCGGCAGGCGGAGCAGATGTTAATCAATTCGATCAATTCACGGCAGATTCACCGAGCACTTACTACTTCTCCTCGTGATTGCCCACACAGACCATGTACGGCACATAGGCGGCAATCGTTTCCACTTGACGCATAAACTCATCCCCAACGCCGCCGTCCTCGTTGCACATATCGTAGGCAAAGTCGCCCACATGCAGAATGGCATCGTACATGCCCAGCTGGGTCTCCCGCTGCAGCGCCGGCAGCGATGCGGCATTCACCACGCCCATGTCGCCGTAAATGGCCAGCGAGGGGGACCAGTCGCTGTGATTGAGCGGCGTGTGGAACCAATAGACCGCCGACCAGCCCAACTGGCTGCCACAATGATAATGGTACGTTGTGTTCGGCCGCAGCTGGGGCAGCGTCACCTGCGGAAGCGTTTTCTATAGCCAGGCCAAACTACTCCATGAGATCTCTACTTACGCGATGGATATACTGTGTGGCCTTTTTGGCGCCGCCATCGACAAAGGCGCTGGGTCCTTGGGGCGCCTTGATGCTCTGCTCGGCGATGCCATCGATTCCGTATTCGCATATCGATTCGTTTGTATTGTCGCGCGTATTCCAGGTGACGACAATGTCCTGGACAGTTTCTGGGAGAAGCACACACGGCACACTTAGCCATTATTCGCAGTCGATATCAACACGATTACAGCTACTAAACTATTTACATACATATTTTATGCTGTTATCGATTATCAATAATCGATACTCGCTTATCGATAAACGATCTTACAAAATCGTTAATTTCACAACAAAAAACAATTACAACAGCCCATAAATGCTTTTATTTAGCATTTAAAGTGAGTTTTCCAGAGGGTTTAAAATGAAAAAAAATGAAAGTAGTTGAAAAATGTAAATTTACACTGGACAACGCCTTCAATCTAAAACTTATGCAAGAAAATTCGCATTACTTTCTGTTCTTAGCGCTATTCAATGCAGAACTAAAGTTAGTAAATGATTATTGGGGAATGCGGCTAAAGGGAACGTCTTTCTATCTTTAAAACAGAACTAGCTACGATGACCTTTTGCTAAAACAAACTTACTTCGATTCAAACTTAAATAGTTCAAATGCTTTGCTCATTTAAACATTTAAAATACTAAAGTTAAGGCTATCCCATTTAAAAAGCTTATGAGTAATTGAAAAACAAGAGATAGTTAAAATTAGCTTAATTTGATTTCAAATAATAAACTCTGCCTATTATAGAGGCAGTTTCTTAAGGAAAACTTGAAGGCAGATCCTTGGTAAATATATATAATATATATTCATACCAACTGCTTCTGACTGATGATCCCTAATTTCAAGCATATAGTTTTCCTATATGGACAATGAAAAAACACAAAATTCAAATTAAAAGTGATAAAAAAAAAAAAAAACTGTTGATATTATTAGATAGATCACTTAAAAGTCATATAAATATACGTATACAACACGATGTATATAGTTCAACATTAAATACATGCAAGTAAAATTGGCTAATTTAAGGATTGTTTAAAGTATTCGAATACAGTTTGTTCTGGGCTCATACTGGGCTACAGTTGCAGTTGCAGTTGTGTTTAAGTTTTGAAATGTACTAAATAGGCGTTAAATTGAGCTATATAATATATAGTAGAATGTGCGCTAATACTGCCAGTTGCTACAGTTGTGTGTGTGTGTGAATGTGTGTGTGTGTGTTTGATCTAACATCGTCATTTAGGGTTCAGTGTAGCCGCCGTGCTGCGACTTAATTAGCCAGAATTTGTCAATAATGGCGCCCTGCTGATCATCGGACACCTGCTCAAAGTACAAATGGGTGCGATTGTGTGCCTTGAGACGCGTGTAACCATAATCCTGGCTATGGAATGCGCTCCACTCGGGTATCTGGCCCTTGAAGGGTTCGCGTCCCTCCTTGCAGCCGGCCGAGCCGGTTATGATGTGGACAGGCGCACGCGGATTCTCATAGGGTGAGCCCAGTGAACCGTTGCGCACATTGTAGTCATAAATGGGCCAGAGGCGTTCGTATGAGTGCTCGTGCGCCCAAATGGCCACATCGACACCGTACTCGTAGAGCAGCGGCTCCAGTCCAAACATATGCACAAATGGCCAGCCGACGCGGGTCAGCGTCTCCGAGTGGGTGCAATCGTTGTCGTTCTCATTGCTGCAGTACATCGGCCGATGGCCATAGATGATAATCCAGGGCCGCTTGATCCGATTCTCCGGCATGTTGGCCGCCTCCAGATCGCGCTTGAGCCACTCGTACTGAAAGACTAGCGTCTTGACGCCATAGTTGAGGAAATAGTAAACCTCCGTGGAGATGCCAATGAAGTGCACCGGGCCCAGGTCGAAGCTGTAGAAGAGATTCTCTGTGCCGCCCGGCATGCTGAAGCGTGCCCGGTAATTGGAAAAGTTGCTGCAAGGCGAATCCAATAAACCATCAGCAAACAATCTTCTATCTCTATCTCGCTCTGCGTGGCCAACTTACAACTTCTCCTCGTGGTTGCCCGGAACGACCATGTACGGCACATAGGCGGCCACCGTTTCGATCTGGCGCATAAACTCATCCCCGACCCGGGCATCCTTTGAGTTCATGTCGTAGGCAAAGTCACCCACATGGATAATCGCATCGTACATGCCCAGCTGTGTCTCCCTCTGCAGGCGTGCCAGCGACTGGGCGTTCTCATTGCCCATGTCGCCGTAAATGGCCAGCGAGGGCGACCAGTCGGCATCGGCGCTGGCGATTGTCCGGAATTGATATTTGGCGGACCAGCCGTAGGCGCTGCCGCAGTGATAGACGTAGCTGGTGTTGGGTTTTAGCTGGCTGAGCGTAACCTAAGTTGAATGCAGAATCTTAAGTCTGTGAGCTGCGTGTGTTTGTGTATGCGTGTGTGTGTGTGTGTGTGTGTGTGTGCGTACCCTGTGTATATATTGGGTCATCTGCTTGGGACCGCCATCCACAAACTTAATGGCCTGGCCGTGGGCTCGCTGCTTAAGATCGTTCAGTCCATATTCGACAATGCTTTCTGTATCGGGCGGCAGGCCGCGCGTTGACCAGGTGACAACAATTTCGCTGGCGGTGCGCTCTGGTGCAGCGGTAGGCAAACGGTAAACAAAAGGGAAGAGAAGACAATGCAAAAAGGAAAACAATTCTTGAGTTTTTGGCCAAAATAACAAGTTTTTTATATATTTCGTTTTAATTTTTTTTTTACTAATGTTAAGTGCAACATAATTTCATACGCACTTCTGAAATTGTTTTGATGGCATGTTTTTCGATTTGTTGTTTTGCTTCCCGTTTGCTTATCGCGAACGCGCGCGCTCGCTGGGATCGGGCGGACCACACGCGCACTAATTAAACTAAAGTTAGAGTGTGACCTTATTAGCGTATGATTAATATTCATAATCTAGTATATACTATATTGTGCGCGTTTATCAGCTAAATCAGCCTTAGCTCCGTTTTGTTGCGGCTGCCACAGATGACTCGGGCGCGCATTTCTATTGTAATTGTTGTTATTTTTATTTTTATTGTTTGCTGTTAGGGGCGTTTATATGGCTCAACGGGAACTGCAACTGTAACTGCATATTGCAAAGTGTGTTCGAGTCAGAGGGGGTGAGGACTTTAGACACGCTATCGACGGCCGCAACTATTGCGCAGCAGTTTCGACAATGACAAAAAGTTCAACAAAATAAATAAAAAGTGCTGAAGTTACAAATTCGCTGATATCAGCGCTAGATATCAGGGTTAGAGGTAAAGGAACTCGCGCGTGAACTTTAAACTTGTTGCAAATTTACAGTTACACACAAATATATATACATAGATACATATATATAAATATATATATATAATGTTTTTATATAATTGGCGCATGCTTAAAGCTATGATAAATATATATATAACTTTTACTGGTACATACCTCCAAATGCCAGATGCACCTGCTCCGGTTGATAGTGCACTATTTCCGGATCCTGCTCCAAGTTTTGCTGAACGTTTGCATCTTCTTCTAGCTCCAAGTTCCGCTGCACTGTGCTGGCCAAACAGAACGCCAGCAGCAGTAGCAACAAGGTCAAGTTTACCATTGCTGTTTTCTTTTGTTATTTTTTTCTATTTGTCTCTTAGATATTTACGTTTAGCTATTGAGCCACATCTAATGACATTGCCAAATCTGTACACGCAATATATAAGTCAGCGGAGAATTTACTTGTTTTCAACTACGTTGTATTTTTCGTTTTGATACAAATTATTGCTGGCGGCAGCAGAAATAATGAGCGAGGAATATTGAAACATCCAGCAATTTATACAATAACAACAAAACACTGGAGATGTTGCTTGTTATCGATACTTTCGATAGTGCGATATTTTCACACGATAGTTGACAGAGTGACCAAACACGCAGCGCGCACTTTTTTCACATTTAAATTTGAAAACGAAGCATGCCCTGGGCTTTGTTGTAGTTGCTTTCGATTCGGTTTATTATTTCATTTTATTTTTCCGGCCTTACAACTTGGGAAGAACAAAAAAATTTATTTGGAAAACATAAGTTAAGAAATGGGTATGGCTGGTTTATCAGAGGACTTTATAACGTTAACACAATTGAATTGTGTGCAACAATGCAGTGCATTAATACATAGTCCAAAACCACGAAATTATATAACGGCCGCTACACTCTTTGGCATATATTGCGGCGTGCTCATTTATCGTTCCTATCGCAGTTACCGTGCGAAATTGGAGGCCCGAAAAGAGGAAGTATCTATCGAGGAGCCGGCAGCGCCAGAGGTGCAAGCCTACGAGGAATACGTCCTCGAAGCACCAGCTATGGAACCCCACGAATATCTCTTGCCAACCATTCGCGAACCAAGCCTATTGGAACAACATTCAAATGAAGAGGCTGTCACGGCGGCACCCTAGCCCAATATTTGGTACGAACACGGCTGAAAATTCCTTACCCAAAATCAAGATGATTATTTCCCATTTCAACAATTTGATATGAAACGAGAAGCCCAAGCTCAATTCCCATTATACGCGTTTCGAGTTTCATTCAAAATCCGACAGCTAATAAAATTGTACTTAATTTATTCCATTTGCATATATATATAAATATATTATATATACATATGTGTGTGCATCTATATATTTATATTGGTTTCGTATAATTGACATATTCTTTAGCTATGCTACGGAATTTTGTTCATGCTCGCTCGTATAACCACTTAATCTACAATAGCAACATTTATAAATTATTGTAAATAATAGTATAACAATTAATTGGGATAATACATAACAAACGTAAACATAGGCAACCTTTAGGTGGGCATTAACATACTATTTTTTTTTTCGATTATTTTCTCTTCATCTTGGCAATATCTAAAGTTAGCCAAACTCTGGGAAGTGGGATACATTTGGGATCAGAAATTAGACGTAATTATATGTGTATTAATATAATGGAATGTAAATTTCCAAATAGACAAATTAGTGGAAAGAATAATTGATCTACAAACTAGAAAACACTTGAGAGACTTGCTGGCAACTATTTATCGCTGGCAGTTCCAGTTCCAGTTCCGCTTCCGCTTCCGCCTCCGGTATTGGTGCTTGGCTTGCGTGTGGCAAAACCTTCGGGCATGCTGCTCTTGCGCTGCGCCTGCGAGATTTGGACAATGCGCGACAACGGGGAATGGGTGCTGCTGGTGCTGGGCCGCATGAGCGCCGAGGGCATCAGGCGAGCAGCCGAGGAGGCGCCAGCCTCATCCTGGCCAGCCGCCGGACTGGCGCCGCCCGGCGACAGTTCACGCGCCAGCGGCGAGGGACGCAGCGAAAGGCGACGCTGCAGCGCCGTCTGCGAGCTGGACATTTGGGTTTGCTCCTCGTTGAGGCTGACACCCGGCGGCGGCGCCTGTCCCGGCGGTATCTGCAGCGCCGTCGGTCGCACGCTGAAGCGACGCCGGAATTTCGTCTGTCCCAGGGGCGTCGAGCTGGCCGCACTAGCCGGCAGCGGTCGCTCCGTATAGCTGGGCGGCGGCTCCAATATCTGGACGCCCGATGGACGACGATTGGACAAGGCACTGGCGCCGCTGCCGGCAGGAATGCTGCTGCCCTGCGGCGACATGGTGCCGACAATTGTGGAGCGACGTGCATACAAACGATTGGCGGCTGTTGCCTGCAGGGCGCGCGTCTGATCGCCGGCAAAGAGCGACAAGATGGGCGGCAGCTGGGGCGGATCGAGGCCGGCATTGCCCAATTTGCGCTGCTTCTTGCTCAATTTGTTGCCGCCGCTCGCCGGCTGCTGATGCTGTTGCTCGTCCAGCGCCGCGTGCGTATGCACCACCTCCAGAGCGCGTATCAGATCCGCAATGGTGGTCTGCTCCAGTACGTCCATGTCCTTGTCGGAAGTCACCGAGAAGATGCTGGAGCGGCGCGGCATGTCGCCGCCCATCGCCGGGAACAGGCTGCCGCGACGTGCCGCCACGGCTGCCATTGCCGCCGAGCCGGAGCCGCGTCGCTGCATCTGGGTGAGCGCCGCTGCTGTCGGTGGGAACATGCTGCCGCGACGTGCGGCCAGGGCCGGATTTTGTGTGTAAATGGATTCGCGGCGACGCCTGCCAGCTGCGGCGGCGGATTTGCGTTGATAGGCGCCGGTGGAGCTGAATGTTGCCTGCTCCGAGTCATCCAGCTGGTAGCCCTGGTTGGTTATGCCGCCATTGCCGATGCTCGAGGCGAGACTTGTGCTCGACTCGAATGTTGGCGGCGGCGGACCGCGACCGTTGCGCAAATACGATTGGCTGGCGCTTGCCGTCACCGTGTTGTTGTAATAGTCGAGCGGCGAGCGGGCCGGCAGGGCCGTAATGCCCTCCGGCACGGATACCACCGACAGCTTGCGTTCGAGATCCTGGGAGGGTCGTTTGCGATGGAAGAGCTTGCGCAGGCCATCCGGCATGGAGAATTTCTTGACACGTCCGGCGCCGGCGCCGGCCATGCTATTCTTCTTGAGCTGCTCCTCAACGCTGTCCGGCTCCGGCTCCAGCTGCACCACATGCGACTCGCCGGCGGCGCCATTCAGCTGGCTCTTGTAGCGACTGTTGAAGGCCTCCTGGATCTGTTGATTGTCACCGCTCCAGGTCCATTCGTTGTGATTGTGCGGCACACGGAGCGGACGACGCGGTGGCTCAATATTGAAATCGGAGCTGGCACGTCCGCGCGGACGACGCGGCGTCGTGTGTTCGTTGAGCGTTGAGAAGGACCATTCGCTGGCCAGGATCTGTGAATCGGAGAACCCGTGATAGCCACCATAAGTGGCCGCATCATCAGCCTCCGGCGGCGGCTGTACCGTGGCCAATGCTGTCACCACCTTGGCCAGCAGATCCGTGGTCTGGCGATATGCTTCTGCCGTCTCGAACGTCTTCTCTCGATCGAATTTGCTCAGCTCCGTATCGGAATTGGCGTGCACCATTACAGACGGGTGCTGACTGGCTGCCACAACGGCGCAAACGGAATAGGCACGCTTTCGACTGGGTATCGGTGCCGGTTCCATGCGGTACATGCTTAGCTCCGGGCAGGAGGCGGACCGGGGCAGCGTATAGCCAAATTCTGTGTCGGTGTAAACGGGCTGATTGGGTTAAGCGATGAATATCGTGTGCAGTTATCGTTATCGTTATCGAGTGCGTGCATGTGTGTGTGTGTTTGTTGTTGTGGTTGTTGTTGTTGTTGTTGTTGTACATGTAAAGAAAGCGCAGCGTATGCGTTGCATTAGTGTAAGTTTCAATGTTGTTATTGTTGTCTCTGTTACTCTCTCGCTAGCCCTGGCACAGTCTTACACAGCTCGTGCTGCTATCCTGATCCTGTTATTTATTTATAATATACATATGTATTTGTTTCACTTATTAATATTACTTACGCCTGCGCTTCTTCTGCGTCTTCTTAATCTTAATCTTCGCGCTCTTTCTATTTCCCTTTCGACAAAACTACAAAAAGAAAATATGTATCACATTTGTTGTTAACTAACTTATCGGCGGAGGGATAGAAGTGGTTGCTGGTGCCGGGAGGGGGGTAGTGTTGGAGTTACGGTTAATGTTCGCCCGCTTAGTCTAACATTTAGTGAATGCGTATCCCAAATTGTTGTTGTGACGCATAGCAAAGACGCAAACGTAACGGAAATGTGTGCGCGCCATTGATTAAACATACATACATAAATATAAAGACACACACACACACAATCTCGTTCTATTGCGCGTGTGTTAGTAAATTTGATTAGTTTTGGGTTTTCTTTTGAAAAGTTCTGCGCGCGCTGCTTCCAGCCGTGGCGCTGACGCAGCACAACGCGTGCAACGGTAAAACTGACGCATGACTTAACGCGCCTGTAAACTAGCTGCAACGCATTAAAAAGCGCCCGAAAGTAGGGTTAGGTTTTACATAGTATTCCAATTAATAATTGATAATTATAATAAATACCAAATAAAATGCTCCCGCATATTTAATTACATACACAGCCTAATTTAAATGTCATACAGAATTAAGTTTATTATTAACCCCGATACTATAATTTAAATAACGGTACTTCATATAGTGTGATATGCTTGTGTGGCATTACCTTTACTTTCAGTATATAGAGCTCGTTGAGCAGACGTCTCAAATAGCCCACGTCCTTGGTAACACCCGTCCAGATGCGATTCTGTGTTGCCTTCAGATTGGACGAGAGCTGCTGCTCCAGATGCGCCAGTTTCCTGCTCTGCAGTCCTCTGTGTGTGTATATGCAAATGATTATGGTTTGGAATAAGAATAATATGTTAGCTTGGAATGATGAATACGGGTTAGGATCAATGTATTGGCAAAGCCCAAGGCATGCAAACGGAAACGCACCCAAATCATGCAATACGATGATCAATAAAGCCAACTTACCGGGTGATGAATGTCATGATCATGACCAGATAGCCCAACGAGAATATAAACCAGACAATAACGAAGATTTGGTAGACCACAAACCAGCCGCCAAATTCGCGTGGCTATCAAAAACGGGGGAAATATCAACAAAGTGAAACGATAAGTGTAAAGTTTTTTATATTCCTTCGGCGATATTCACCTGGCTGGCACCAAAGGTGGGCACAAAATCACCAAAACCAATTGTCGTTGTCGTTACATAGGTGTAGTAAAAGGATATCGAATACGACCAGTCCTCAAAATAGGTAAACACCCAGGCGGGCAGCAGCAGGAACAGGGCTATGCCCGGTATAAGGGCTATAACCACCGTGGTAATCAGGCCCAGCTGCGGCGGCACATAGTGATCGTCCGTGGACATCTTGTACTTCTTGTACCGTCTA